AGTAAATTGGAGGAGACTCTGAACCAGTTCATGCAGGTATCTATGAACAACCAGAAAAACACTGAAGCTTCCATCAAGAATTTGGAGGTGCAGGTGGGTCAGCTAGCTAAACAATTAGCTGACATGTCTAAAGGCCCATTTTCATCCAACACCAAGACCAACCCCAAGGAGTATTTCCAAGCCATAACAACAAGAAGTGGGAAGGTAGTTGGTAGTGATATTGGGGTGAGTGGTGACAATGAGGGTGGTGATAATAAGGAAGAAAATAGTAAACTGAAGGCGGTTGAGGAGGAGATTGAGAAGAATGAGGGAGAAAGCAATAAAAATGAGGGTGTAGATAGTGAGAAAATAAAAGAGAAGAACCACTTAGATTTGAGCTTCCCAGGGAAAAGTTTCAACCTGGAATTGAACAGTAATACTTGTTGGCCAGGTTGGAAGTTCCTGTTCAAAATCTTCTTATCATGGTATATCTTGGCTTTGTGCTTGTAAGACTTAGAGGACTCATAAGCTTTCAATCTCCTTTCTTCCCATTCATGCAATTGAAGCTTTCTTTTCTCCCCTGCTGCCTTCAAATCATAATTTAAGGCCTTCAAAGCCCAAAATGCTTTATGTTCCAATCCCACTGGCAGATGACAAGCTTTACCAATGACCTTTTCCAATTCTTCGTTAGAGATAGGCAAAGCCTTCTCTAGTGGCGATGAGCTCTTGAAATCATTTTGAGTTTCCAAGTATGCATCATCTAATACATCAATTCTAAAGCAATCTTTGTTGCCTTTTGGAAACTTCGTTGTTTCAAATATATTGAAACTCACTTCCCCATCTTGGACCCTCACCTTCAGCTTTCCTTCATCCATGTCAATGATAACTCGAGTTGTGTTCATAAAGGATCTGCCCAATATCAAAGGAACTTCTACATCCTCTTCCATATCCATGACTACGAAATCAACCAGAAACATGAACTTATCAACCTTCACGATCATATTTTCCACTATACCATGTGGAATCTTGATGGATCTGTCTGCCAACTACAAGGTCATTCTTGTAGGTCTCACTTCCACTTCTCCTATCTTCTTCAGCATGGATAAAGGCATCAAGTTAATACTAGCTCCAAGGTCTAAGAGTGCCTTACCCACTGATAGATTACCGATTGATACAGGGAGAGTGAAACTGCCTGGATCTCTGGACTTCTGAGGTAGAGACTTCTGTATAGTAGCACTGCATCTTGCCTCAAGCTCCACAGTCTCTTCTTCAAGAATTATTCTCTTCTTAGTTAATAATTCCTTCATGAATCGAGCATAAGTGGGCATTTGTTCCATGGCTTCAGTGAAGGGAATATTTATCTGAAGCTTCTTAATGATATCCAGAAATCTCAGGAACTGCCTTTCTTTTTCTTTCTTGGAAGGAGCATGAGGGTAAGGTAAGTCTTTAATAGGAACAGTGGAAATGACTTCCTTGCCCTTCTTTTTATTTTTCTCCTTCTTTACTCCATTCTTCTCTTTTATTTTCTCACTATCTACACCCTCATTTTTATTGCTTTCTCCCTCATTCTTCTCAATCTCCTCCTCAACCGCCTTTAGTTTACTATTTTCTTCCTTATTATCAGCACCCTCATTGTCACCACTCACCCCAATATCACTACCAACTACCTTCCCACTTCTTGTTGTTATGGCTTGGAAATACTCCTTGGGGTTGGTCTTGGTGTTGGATGAAAATGGGCCTTTAGACATGTCAGCTAATTGTTTAGCTAGCTGACCCACCTGCACCTCCAAATTCTTGATGGAAGCTTCAGTGTTTTTCTGGTTGTTCATAGATACCTGCATGAACTGGTTCAGAGTCTCCTCCAATTTACTAGTTCTTTCATGCATAGAGGGATAA